CTCTTACCCGGAGGGGGCAGTAGTCAAACGACGAAATCAGCTGGTTTAAGCTATGGGAGATTGTTGTATATATCATTCTTTCGAGGTTCGCGTTCGGTGTACTTTCAGAACGTCCTTTTGGGAGAGGTGATCTTTCGTGCTCTGCGACACGAGGTCCACCCTCAATATGGTCTTCGGACTTCCGTGGTGCATAACCGCTTGGTGTGGCCTGTAGTAGACTGGTCCCTTCGCAGGATCCTTTTACAGTCGGAATGCCTCTAAGTAGCCCTTTTTCATGTAGTCTCGGATGCAGGCATGATGTTCTTTGTCAGCTGCTCACTTTTCTGGAAACGTGTGGTATGCGATCGTTGACGCTTCTCCGCTGTCTCTCGGTTGTCTGTAAGCTCCTCGGCCCTTGGTTTCTTTGGGACAAACAACTTGAAGCGAATGTCTTCGAATTTGAATTTCTTTCTGATGTTGCGGCTCGGGTTTTGGCGACTGGCTTATTTGATCCCAAGGTGCTCAGGTTCTGAAGTGGATCTCAGGTTTGCTGCTATTTCTTTTTCGACTGCATGGCCATAGTGACCGTCCTCACGTTTGTGGCCAAGGAAAACGTCGCCATAGACTGCGATGTTTCAGTCTGGCCTTGCAGAACCCATAAAAATGCCGTCTTCATTGCAATCAATTTAGTGCCAAGACGCTTGATGGATCCACTGACGCTTGTTCGGTAGTAATCGTCTCTAATTAGGAGACCTATTCCTTCTTCAGTTTGGGTTGCTTGCGGGACGTCTGCCTTCTTCATCTGCTTCTGATGGAGACCGCTTGAGATCCGCACAGATGCAGGGTACCTCGAGAGCCTCTACCCGGACTTCCTGCCTGTCGTGCTGGTTTCTGATCAAGAACTCCACCCGTCGCCACTTTGTGTTCTTTTTCGCTGTGTTGTAACCGAAAGTAAAGATCCCGAGCTCTTCTTCTCCCAACACCTTTATCTGCACATTCTCGGAGACGTTGCGCTGGCTGCCGCCGTCGAGGAGAAGCCTCACGAGTGCATGCTTCTGTAGACCCTCTGCCCATGCTCGTGCTGTCTGAAGGAGAACCGGTGTTTTCTTTTTCCTTGCGTCACAATCTCCCATACCAAGAGAAGACTGCAACACTCCTTGTCCGTGTATCACATTGAATTCGGTGACTGCTACACTTTCTTTTCCGGCGCCATACAGGACTCATATCGCACTGCGGTGTTAGGTGTCTCCCAAAGCGTTGCGCCCGTTTGAACCATTTGGATTACCGACAGTCTCTGGATCTGTGATCTCGCTTGGTACGGTGCACAAGCAACGATTCTCGCGTTTCAGGACTTCTTTTCTGTCTGAAACTGACATCTGTGAAGAACAGTAGGCTGAGGCGCGGTTGTCTGAGCGGCAGAAAACGCATTTCGTCACGTCCTCGATGTTCATGACGTTTAAAGCCGCAGCTGACGAGAAGGGCTTTGCTTTGTAACTATCTCTATGCGACCAACAGGGTCGTCAGTTTGCAGCTCTCTCCGTGGGTCTGCCCGTTTGCATCTTTTCGCGTGATTTCATCTCTCTTCTCAAGAACCGCGGAATAAACTGTAATACATCGCCCCCTCTCGTTGTCCCATCTTGGGATGACATTCGAGAAAATGTCAGCAGGCACGGCCTTTTTTTTTAGCACTGCAAGGTGCAGCACTCCATACGTCCCAGAGCTAACCCTGAGAACACTGAGGCTTCTTACTCCCATTTGTATATGTTGTCAATGAGGGCGCGAAGTTTGTCCATGCTTCTCGAATCACGCAGTGGCTGGATCGTGAGTGGCCTCGACATATGGCCATCGATGATGATCTTCTTTCGACCAAATCTCTCTTTCAGAATGTCAAGCGCAATTTCGTAGTCATCTGCGGTGACATCAAGCCTTGCTACAGCCACGAAGGTAGATGGTGAGGTACTTGAACGTGTCAACGCTTGATAGTGTCGGATTCGCGTTGATGGTCGAGCCGCTCCAGAACCCTTGCCACGAACGCAGCTCGCCTCCAGACTTCGAGGTCTCCAACTTGGGGAGCTTCACCGCGGGGCTTGCTCCTCGCACGACGCTCGCGGGTCTTTGTACTAGTTCTGCGGGTGACGTGTTTGTTGACGTCCGACTCATCGACGTTCTTTCGTGAATCCGGTAACGCAACGTGCCCTTTATTTTAGACTTCGCGATGCTTATCCCTTTTATGTAGCTCTCGGCGCATCTGATTTTCTTTTCTAAGCATTCGTCGTCGACACCCTGCTCAAACTCGCGGTCGAGTTCTTGAAGTGAGTCCTCCTTAGGTGTTAAAAGGTTCAATTTGTTTCCAACTCACCGACTGACGACGGATCCACCATGGCAGCGATGTCTTTCATATGCTTTATGATCAACGATCGCAAGACTGTGCGTTCCTCTTTTTTTTTCTCAGTCGATTGGTGGTTTCCATTTTCTCTGGTAAACCTCTCTCCCGGGTTGCGGCACCAAAAACTGTTGCATTTTAGTCACGCATGTATAGTTTATTTAGACTAATTTACAACTTAGGCTTTTGGTCAAAGCGTGAATTAAGGCTTTTTTTTTTTTTTGCATCTTCTTGTTTTTGTGTCGCTTGATCAAATCTCGTGTCTCTTTCTTCACTCCTGTTGCCGGCCGTTGTTTTCCACCTTCCATTCCCACCCACTGTTCGTGTGCTTGCCGTTGTTGGAGGTCGGAGTCCATCCTTGCCTCATTCTCCCTCACACCGTCTGTGCGATGCGCGGACAGCTCGGGTGTCGGAACTCAAACTTCGCAATAATAAGATATACAGCAGTCTTCAAAACAGGCACAGCAGAAATTGTGTTTTCTAAATACGCAGCTTATGCCATAGATTTGCGGCACGCGCGTTCGTTTTCACTTAGGACACCAACCACGGAAACAGCCCACGGCTTTCCTCCTTGATTCCTGGCGCTCGTCTCTTTCCCTTGTTTTCGGGAGATTGTGGACCGATGACAACAGTGGAGGTCTTGAAAACAGCCAGCCAGCAGAGCGTGTGAGTGGCTGTCAGGACTGGCGTGATGATTGCGCTCTAAACCTCAGTCCAATAACTCTGAGCCTGTCGATATGTGAATCGTATGCGTTCTTTGCTGCGTGAATGAAATCAAGTGAGCGTTTTGAAATGTACCATTCTGCAAACATCCAATGGCTCTATGGTATACTTGTTTCCACCCTACGATGGATTAAAGTAAGAACTGCGGACCGCTATGTCCAATAAAAGGCCATTTAGAAACGACGTAATATATTTATCTGAAGTATACGCATCAGAGCAGCGGGCTGATATGCACGTCGAAGCAGCGTATACTATATGGTTTCTTTCGCATAATTGAATGTAGAAAACATCGTAGATCAAGACGAACTGTAGGGAGAAGGTGCGGCTGTGACTGCTTCTTGCCAAACACTCCAATACTTCAGAAGATGCTGGCTCGGAATATATTCCGGGAGCACCTCTATGGTGAATCTTCACATGTACAATCCCCGTTCACCCCAATCGAACGGGTGCTAAATTAAATTTTGAGATTGGCTTTTTATGGCCTACGGCCAGCATCCTAGAAAGCCCAAAATTACAACTCTGAATTTCCTTCTCGTTTTCCGCCTCTTCAAGACGCTACCAAACACCACGTAACGCCGCCCCTACTTTAAATTGCATCTCAAAAAAAAAAAAAGAAAAAAAAAGAAAAAGGGCGTATTGCAAAGTCTGGTTGCGTTTTTATTAGGTATAAAAAGACCGCGCATGATAAAAGAGTTTTCGTAGATCGTTTTCGCCGTCTCGCAACGCTCTTCGCAACCCGCTACGATACCTGGAACTCTACAGCCAAGGCCATCGGCACGCAGGCGCAGTAGCAGCTTTTTTGTTGCGGAGGGCTTAGCGGAGGAAGAAACGCGGTCTACGAAAACTCGCTATTGTAATTTAGGGTTCTCTGTAGTCACTCGTAGCTGGAGAAACGCATGGTGTTTATGATTATATTTACGCTTCCTGCCTTGTGATTGGTTCTTTGATGTTTTTCTCGGATAATGCCGCATTCTGATTAGCTGCAGAGGGATGATAAGGCGCTTGGTACTCGCCACGCCCTTCATTTCTTAAGCCAGGCTTTGTGAGTACAGAGGAGGCATAGCCTCCTCTATACTCAAGTCTCACAAAGCCTGGCAGTTCGACGACGGAGCCATAGAGTGCCCGGTCGCAGACTTGGATTGCGAGGACCTGGTAGCACAGAACATCAAAGAGCCATTTCTCGGGAACCTGGACGTCAGCGCACAGCTTTTGCAACGGCGAGGACCCGAAACACGCTTGTTCGCTTGGGAGAAGTGTGTTTCGGCGTCTCGCCGCAGCGGTGCGACAGTCACGTGGCTCTCTTCTCATCCGTTGTGTGCCGCACCACCTTTTCCATTTCGGCGGGCGCTTCTCGTGGCGATCTGCCAAGCTTTGTCTATGCTATAGGATGCTTACGGCATGCAGACCGAGTTTACGACGTAAAGAGATTGACGAAAATAATCCCTGAAGAATGGGAACAAGAGGGACAAAGGACAAACACAAATCTCCAAACAGCTAGGTGACTGCTGCGCGACCGAAAAAATCCGCCTGGTCCGGGTATCGAACTCGGGACCTCTCCATTTCCAGTGGAGCGTTCTACAAACTGGACTAACCAGGGGTTAGACATCAGTAGAGCAAACATGTTTTATCAACTGTCACCAGTCTAACACCAACAAGGGTGAAAGGCTCGCATTTTTAAGGTTGTGATTATAATGCAATTAAATCAAAGGTGCAAGTGAGCTGGACAAGATTCACGAAAATATTCCCTGGAGAAGGGGATGATGTAAAAATCCGCTTTAGTGCCTCTTTAAGGGCTTTCGTGCTGCCCCTGGGTCAGAGGAACAAGACAATAATTTACAGATGTCTTTCCACAAGCGTTCCGAGAAAACAAACAAAAAACAACATATTTTAAACGAGGAAGCGAATGTCCACCAACCTTGTTGAGATGAAGTTGGGATTTCCGGGGCACCTGATGGGGTCCAGCTTTTTTATGTACTTCTTCACAGACGAGTCGAACGGATCGAATTGCTGCATCGTGCATCCGGAAGTCTTGATACTATATGAAAGGTTATCGAGGGTGGAATGGACCACGATGGGCATCACTATAGAAGGCGGCCCGGCGTTCATGGTGAAGGGGCCGAAACGGTAGATGACCAGAATGCTGAAGATGGCGACCAGCACGATAAGGAATCGCAACCTAGTTAGCTTGTGTTTCATGGTTCAAGATGACGCGCTGTTGCAAGCACCAACCTGGGAGAAGGCAGGGAGGGTACGCAGTTTCAGGAACTGCTGCGCAAGAATTTACTTTGGTAACAGCTACGCTTAATATAGACGTAGTTTTTCGTCTGATCCCCGAGCCCCCGGGATGCGCTTTATCGTATTTGAAATGGGCGGTCCAACGATATTTGTATCTTCAGTAAATCTGCCTTAGTATTAATCCTGGACGTTCAAAACCCACAACACACGCGTTACTTTTCCTCTCCGCGCTGCGGCAGTCGTAGGAAAAATTTGAGAAAAACGAGCAGGAGAGATGATCGAGTGTGTTAGCGCAACGTTGCTCGAAGCGCGTGGAGCGAAAGCTCGCGCTGCAGAACACAGGGACCCTGGGTTCAATCCGTTGGAAGTTGCGCCTCGTCGGTGTCCTGTCCTCCCTTCGTCCTCGTCTTTGCTGCGCACGCGCAAGTTTTATGAAAGGGCTCCTACCCCTGCCTTTTCGATCTGGATGAGCATCGACCGGCGAACGGTCGTGTATTACTATACTTCGTTTCAGCTTCGGTCCGAGCGCGGCCGATGTTATGAGCCGAAGGGCCAATCAAACAGTGCAAAAAGCGCAGCGTCATGGTGTGCTCTCTGCTCTTGATAGGACTAGGCGGCGGAGGAGCCCGCACAGAGAGACGGCGAATACCGACTGGTCCTATCAACTGCAGAGAGCACGCCATGACGTTGTGCCTCTTTCGCTGTTTGATTGGCCCTTCGGCTCATAGCATCGGCCGCGCTCGGACCGAAGCTGAAACGAAGTATAGTGCGTGATGCACATCAAAAGACCCCAGGCTGGCAGTTGTACCGCACCGGCAAATATATTCACCTACAGCTAAGACATCAGACGCCCATTGGGGTGGACTAACTTCCGGCTGTCTAAACACGCATTCAATCCAATCATAAGGAGTTTTGGGTGACTGGGGAGGTATGCAACCACTGGACTACCCCGACTTTTCTTTCGACTTTTCCTATACCTGGCTTATGAATGCCCCAAAACTAGGTGAATCTAACCGATGATGTTAAAGAAGTTTGGACACAGCAAAAAAAGAAAAAGAGATAACCATAATGCTAGGACCAATTGTAGGTTCCTATATTTTTGCTAAATTTGTTTTGAAAGTGGCGCGATACCAACTATCGCGCCACTTTCAAAACAAATTCGATTATAAATGTTACAATAAATCGATTATAAATATTACAATAAATCGATTTATATGCGGGACCCTCGGATCCGCCCCATTCGGGAAGGCCGCCATCTTTGTTGGGTCGGCGACTTCATTCTCCCAACGCGCGGCGTCACCTTGCACGTACTGACGTACTTCGCTCTCTTGGCGTCTTCTTCGTTTACCTTCCGTGTTTCGAGCACTCGGTCTGGAGACAAGAGACCGATCCCACAGCTAGTTTGAGTACGCCACCGCTGCCGACATGCATCGTGGGAGCTGTAGTCTTTCTGCACTCGCGACAACCCTACTGGAGGTCTGCGCGAGCAGACCATGAGGCAACATGAGCTCTCTCGTGAACTGGCGTCTGCCTCCTACGAACTACAGTTATGGCGGCGTCACGCATGCGTGGAACGCTTGGTGAGATCGGTCTATAGACAGACCTCTCGTATAAATTAGCCAAGAATCAAAGAGAATGTTGGGAACGAAGGTACACGCGCTGCACGTGCTCGCCTTTTTTGTAAAAAAAAAAAAAAAGATTCGAAGTAAATAACAAAAATATAGCGCCCGTAAAACGCGCGTGCAAAGTCCCTTTTTTTTTATTTTTGCTTTCGAACAGTGATAGGACCGAAGACGCCAGCACAAGTATCGCGTGTCCCTACGTTCCCGGCCTTCTTTTCGACGCTTGGGCAATACGGCAGAAGGTCAATTACATCTACGGCATCGCTCCCTTCGTGGGAGTCTTTGACCCTGATCGCAGCAGCGATGAGAGAGATTGTTATCAAGAAACGTTGGAAGGTTGGAAAGGACCAACGTCGGCAACTTTGTCATTTTGATTTCGACCCGCTAGTGACCAGCTCAGCGACGCCGACTAGATCGTCGCGTACGAACTCGCCGTTGTCACCCTCGTTCGCGACAGTCTCGCACGTGCAGGAGGGGTGAAAGGTCAAGGAGCGAGAGCGAGAACAGGCAATTGGCCCGTTGCTCTCGGGCAGGGGGCGCGAGAGCGTCCGAAAGACACGACCATGTTATGCTGGCTGCACCATCCACCCGATGCAACCATAAAAGCAGCGCAGTAACGTTCGGTTATGTGTGAGCCACCTTCAAATACAAGCGTCTGTCAGCATCTGTCCATGCGCAAAAAAAAAAAAAAAACGCAGTTTGCGGCTTTAGCGTTTCCTAAAATGTTCCTTTCGGCTTTAATATTTCTATAGGAGGTGTTCACTGGACGCCATATTTGAGGGCGCTGCTTAGATCGCATGCTGAGAACGAGCTCACATTATTAGGCTGCGAAGATGGGAAATCTCGATGGTGCGGAGTGCACGTGACGAAGAACTGTGCAAGCTTGCCGTCAACACGAGCTCAGCAATTGCGCACACAGCTATGGCCGCCAATGAATACTCTACATTGCTTCCTTTCATAGCCTCCGTCAGCACGTATGGCTTCACTTTGCGTGATAGCGAAGCCGAAGCTACATGCAGAAGCATGTTCCCTTGAACTACCCAAGTATTCTAGTACACTGTACTTGAACGATGCTCGCACTGCACGAGCGCGCGTGCATGGCAGGGACACTGCAAGCTCGGAGGTTGCTCTTCTAGCGTCTGCTACCTCTGCTACGCTGGCACTTAGAATGAAACGGAGTATAAAAAAAAAAAACTGTAGTGGGGGAAGCGTATAGGGAGTATTCACTAGACGCCATATCTGTGGGTGTTGTTTAGAGCGCATGTCAGAACGAGCTCACATCAATAGGCTGTTCAGACCGGCACTTTTGATGGTGCGGAATGCACGCTGCAAAAGAACTGTGGAAGCTCGCCATCAGCACGCACTCAGCATTCGCGCACACAGCTATGACCGCCAGTGAATACTCTCTATTGACGCATGTTCGAAACGCGAGCCAAATATTATATTTTTGCTGGACTGGAGCGCTGCTCAAAACTTGAGACCTACGGGCGTGCGGCGTCGCACTACAAATCAAGAGCTGCAGTATTCACTGACGGCATATTGGGGAGGAGATCGAACAGTCACGCCTCTAGCGGTGCGCTTCAGCTGTGGGGACAACAAACCCCATTTTCTTGTTTGTTTTTGATCCGAGAAATCGAAGACGACGATTCGAAGGCCGCTTCTCGTGCGACCAAAGCACTGGTCAAAACGAAGCGCTCGTGCCCAGACCGTGCTCGGCGAGGTTCAATTTCTTTGTTATGTTGTGTTGGTAAACACCGGGTTGTGGGGACATCAAGATCGATAAAGCGCCCCCTATAGTTCGATCTCCTGCCCAATACTGAAGGTCATAGCTAGTCCGCAGCTGTTAGCCGCGTGCTAACGGCGAGCTTCAACGGTTCTTTTGCAACGTGCATTCCGGACCATCAAGATTCATGGCCTTAGCCGCGGCAAAGTGAGCAGCGCACCCAAAAATAGCGTCCTGTGAATATATCGACATTAGCGTTTCATGAATCCCGTTGGCGGTCATATTCCGGAGCACACGAGCATCTCTCCGGGATCGAAATTGCAGCAAACGAGACTGCGAGGGCGCAGTTATAGGGAGTATTCACTGGTGGCTATATCTGCCATAGCCTCCTTTATACTCACAAGGGCTGGCAGTTAGATGACAAAGCCATAGAATGCCCGGTCGCAGATTTGGAGCGCGAGGATCTGGTAGCACATAGTATTTGTCGGTGAGTCTGGTATTCAGCGCACAGCTTTTGCAGCGGCGAGGACTCGAAACATGGTTTTCAAACCCGACGAGGAAAGAAGCCGTAGCCCGAGGAACGCGAGAAGCACAGGCGGACATCCCATCGCCCGGGACAAGTGTGTTTCGGCGTCTCGCCGCAGCGGGGCGCCCGTTACATGACTCTTGTCTGCCGCTCCACCTTTTCCCTTTCGGCAACCGCGTCTCGTGGCGACCTGCCAGGCTTTGTCAGTATAAAGGAAGCAATGGCTGTGCGCACGACTGCTCAGCACGTGCTGACGGCGAGCTTCCACAGTTCTTCTGCAACGTGCATTCCGCACCATCAAGATTGCAGGTCTTAGCGGCCTATTTCTGAACATGCACTCTAAACATGGCCTTCAAATATGGCGTACAATTAATACCTCCTATAGGGGTATTCACGGGACACCATTTTGTTGGACGTTGTTCGCAGCGCATGCTCAAGACGATGCTCGAGGACAACCTTTTCTGAAATTTCAGAAGAAGCGAACACCGAGCGTGTACAGCTTCGATCAGTGCTCAAAGTCCTCGAGCGCACGGGTATCCGTAGCTTTGGCTTCACTGCCTGCGAGGAATGCACGAGTATGCATGCTTAACGTCCATTGCACACAATCGCTGTCCTTGGAAACGGTAAGTGGAGCTAGTTCTCAGCGCGCGCTGTGAAAAACGTCCAACAATATGGCGTCCCGTGAATATGCATGTACCAATTTCCCTCCGGTCTTCCCTCCCCTTCCTCCCCCCCCCCCCCCCCCCCCCCCGCTCTCCTTTTTACTTATCCTCGCTGGAGACCAAGGCATTCCACTTGATCTAGGGGAAATAAAAAAAGAGGAAAGAAAGGCCAGAAAAGCTATAGGCTGTACCCGTTCCTGCTTCCAGGCTAGATTCTGGAAGGAAGCCTCTCTAGAGATTCATCCGCTTGTGCTTCCAGAGTATAGTCTGGAAGCATCTCTGGAGGTATAACACCTCCGGAAATCCATCAGATACCACCCGGTTACAACAGACGTGAGCGAATGAGCCTCTTAACGACTCCGGACCAAGGCAGCCATCATCCCGGTGTGGCGAGCAAGGTTCCACCGATCAAGTTGACCGGAGGACTATCCATGACCCGACCCCAACTCACCTCTTGTGGGACTGTACCGGGATCACGCAGCACAGGGACGAAGCTTTCAGCAAGCTCCCGCAAGAGGAAAGACAGCGCTGCACGAAGCCTGGACCCACGCTAGACTCGAGCACTTTGACAATAAACAAATCCTCGACTCTCTGACTGTCTTAATACGTTCATCAGGGGACGCTAGGCACATTTATACTCTAAAACCCTTG